TTCAGAAAAAATGAATTTTTTCAGCAATGGAAAGGAATTTTAAAAAAAGCTCTCCATACTTTTAAAGCTTATCATTTGGGCTATCTAACAGTATGTGAATGGGGGACCTATCCCTTAACCTAAAAAACTAGATAGGTTTGCAAGCTGAGAGTATCGACCGCTGAGCTTAGCAGTCCTGAGTTCAACCGAAATTTTAGTTTTGACCAAACGTCATTGAAAGAGACCTTTCTAGAATCAGTTTTCAACGTAGAATTTAAAAATATTAATGAGAATAAGTAAAAACGTAAAGGAAAAAAACTGTGAACCATTGTCTGAAAAAGAATAGTTTTTAGCTTTTTCGACCTCGTCTCAGTATTTCGCGATTTTCTCCACGAAGAAAAGGGTTTTTGAAGTTCGGAATGTGTTATTCGGAATCAGCGTCCAAAGACGAACCAGAATGTGTATTAAAATCGAAAAAATAAAATTCACTTGAGTTTTGATCTAGCTGAATCTTACTTGGCTCAAGCAAGTCAAGTAACGACGCTTGACAAGTTCTTGCTCAAGTACTGGCTAAGTGCTTAACTTGTCATGTATTTCCCAAGCACTCATCAAGTAATCAAGTACATTCACTAGAGAAGTATTTCTATAGACTATCTATATTGTGTCAGTTTTATTATCTGCAGATGACTTTTTTTGTGTTATCAAAATGGACTGATTTCTGGCGACATCTATCCATAACTACAGAAACGTTTGCTTAGGTTTTTTCTCTCTGTATCAGTAATTATTTTTTCAGTCAACTCTTTGAATATTTTCTCACTTGTGTAAAAAATAATTTTCTACTTCTCTCTCTCTTGTGATTCGCTTATCCATAGAATATTTGGCAGCCATTTTTCCGTATTTTGCGCACACACATACAGACAACCAGTGTTTCTAACATTACGCGTACGCCTTTGTTCCAACGCGTACGGTATGCGAACTAAATTGAAAGTACGCTTTGTATCAACCAATAGGAAAAGACCGAACGATAACATCCACGAATTACCATGCTTATGTACACGCTGCTCAAAATTCTCATTAGAAAGCCTGCAGACAACCATTTTGTAAGACCCTAGACTAAAGTCAAGGGAATTAAAATGAAAACACTCCAGTTCGTTTTATGCATTCAGTTCGTAAATACACACTGCTGAGAGCATTTTACGAATTTCGTAAATGCGCATTGCTAAATCCAAGTTTTATACTACTCATTAATTTTCATGTTCGAAGGATTCGCAAATGCGAAGTGTATGATAAAATTAGACAATTCGTAGATGCACCTTGCAGAGCGTGGACCAATCACAGGAATTTCAAAACTAGATGTTACTGTTAATTCGCAGCGTTTTACGAATTCGCAAATGCACTTCGCTGTAGACACATGAATTCACAGAAAGCGGGTAGACCAGATTGCTAGGCGTATGTGCGATTTCGTAAGAAGTAGTTGGAAGACTGTCTATTTTACTAATTACACATTGCAATTACTTCGTACGTTAAAGGTGCAAAGTCGCAGGTGAGTAGCTATGCTAACTATCAAAAGTCGTTTACTTCTACATCGAGAAATCTGCAAATTGCTTGCTCTTTGTACTTTGTAAACAATTCGTATGAAAATGTGAGAATTCGTAAATGGGCAGCTACAATAATTTTCCGAAGTTGAAGAAAGTTTCTCTCTCTATAATATGTTAAATTACATGGCACATATCATCATAAAAAACAAATGATGGAATGTGTGAATTCACAGAATTTAATGCATAGTAACTGCAATGTGCAAAGTGCAAGCAATACGCAGATTTTCGGAACTGGAGAGAAACTTTCTTCTACTTCCGCTGTTTATCGTCCGTAGTCAAGTATGAATTCGCACGGTTAGATACGAATAACTGCAATGTGCAAAGCAGTTTCGACATTTCTCGAGCGGTAGGGAAATTTTCGTTCACTGCTGATATTTGTTATGAGTAGTCATATGTGAATTCGCAGAATTTAATAAGAAATAACTGCAAGATGCAAGCAATACGCACATTTTTGCAACTGGAGGGAAACCTTCCACTTCCGATATTTATCGTGCGTAGTCATGTGGGTTCTAGTTTAGATTGGTAAACGACTCTGTCTTGCACGTAGTTGGACTCATATTCTATAGTAATGGTTTTCGAAGTGCTCATTTTTACATTACTTCGAGTTGACACATAGCTTTTGCTTTCTTTTTTGAAAAATTTACTTTGCCGAATTCGTGTCTGCACATTGATGAGCATGTTTTCAGCAACGTACAATAGTTTCTAAATGCAATTCGCTCCTCGATACACTTCGCAGATTTGGTATGTTTACACAGTGTTCGAAGGACTGATTAATTGCAGCGAAGTACAATTCGCACGGGAAAACGCAATCTGCGAGTTTGAACGCCTTGGCCGCACCACTCATATTTTCCGGAAATACAGAACGCAAAAGTATTTTATAATTAGTCAAGGGTATTATAAAATGTGTGAATCTTTTCTGTCTAGTCACATTTTATAACTTGAGTCTCTACGTTGAAAAGGCTTTAAAAACAGTACATTAAAACATACAATTAAAATAATTTTGATCAGTAAAAACAGAATCATGGAAACTGACACATTTTTCTCTTATTGACAAACGCAGTGAACGCAGTGCATCAGCTATTCGAGAATATTCAGATAGCTTAAACAATACGCACACAGTAGCAACAAGACCAGGGACAGCATAGAGAGGTTATGAAAGTCGACGAGAAGACAAGTGCACAGGGCATTCAGATGGTGTGAAATGAAGAGAAATAATACTAAGTAACGAATAGAAGATGCCCCTCCCCTTCTTTCTTCGTAACCGCCATCGTTCTTCGTTCCTTTGTTATTAGACAAGGTACTCTCTATTACTGGAACTTATGCTCAAACCAATACTAGCGTACTACACAAAAACTAGTTTGTGATCCATAGCGACCATGAGCGACATTTTCGTGACTTCAGTTAGCAGATTGCTAGCCAATCACCCTGCTTAGCAGGCACCCGCTGACTACATAATACCGTTATAGAATCACGAAAGTCTCAGACCTCCTACGACAACACTACTCGACAAGTCGAAAAAACCAGAAAAAAAAAAAGAAGTCCGCTGCGAAAGTATACGACGTCGAATTTCGCGTTGCCCAAATATCTCTTAGAAGAGAAATCTAGTAAAATTTCGGCTAAAAACAATATTCTGAAAAAATCATACTATAGATAATGCTACTGTGCGGTCGAAGATAACGTTTTTTCTGCGGTCTGTGCGATTTCTCACAGTAAACGTAGGCATTTTTTTTCTGTTCTGTCACTCTTTTCTTTCGTTCTTTCCACCCCTTCTTTCCGCATGTACGTTTCGTGTTGTTTTTTTCTCTTCTATAGTAAAGATCTCTTCCCTTCAGACAAACATTATATTATAAAACAAGATTTATTCTAACTTATATAAACGCTTCGAAGTTCACATCAAGCAGAAACAGTGATCAACTCAATTTTTACACGAAAATATTATCTACACCATTTTTCATATTTTTCTCTAACAGATATTGTTCTTGATACAACTTTTCTCTCTGGGGTGAATGTTGCTAATTTGAACGGAAAAAACGCATCACCAGCTTTTTCTCTATGGTATGACAATTAAGTTAGAATTGAATAGACTTTTGTTGAGAGATATAATAATAATAATATTTGATAATGATAATATTTTGAGTAGAGCAAAGTTTCCTGATAAAATAATTTTAAAAGCTGACCTAAACTGAGTGAATTATGATCAGAGATGTGAGTAGTCACATGGAAGAACCAGCCGCTAATCTGAACGGAAAGCGAAAAAATGTTTCTGATGTGAACGCTCTCGTACATGGTGTACTAAAGCGGTATCAACATAAGATAAAATATCGGGATACCATAACTATTTGTTGTATCTTATATTTACTAGAAAAAATGTCAAATTTCGATGAAACTTTTTCAGGATGTAGCTGGTGAGGCTTTGCTAGGACTGAGAGTGGAAATTTCTTTCGTCTATCATGGAATTTCGGGTCTCTAGTGATCAAGAAAATAAGAATGATCAATGCGCTTTACATACGTGTCATTCTACAGTTGTATTACAGTCGTCATTTTTCTAAAAAGCTCCGGTGGAGCGGAATTCTCAGCCAGCTTCACTTGTGAACTGTCAGTTTTTTGAGATTATTTATAGAAGAATAGAATTATTTTGTTAATTGCATATAGATGTTCAATAGGAATCCAACCTAGAATTCTACACACTTTATATCGCGAGCTTAAATTCATTGCTCCGCTGACAATTAAAGCAGCATGATATCGGAGCTTGAACGGAAAAATTAAATATGATGGCAAATTAGCTATAGGCGTAGGCTGTGTATGAACTTGCTTTAAAATAGCATAGACAATATCAGCATAAGTGATTATTGAAAGAAAATATGATTTATATATTTTATCTAATGTAGAAATATTCAATATGTTTATGTCTGCGCATGAGATAGAGAATATGATTGCATTTTTTTAGCGCATACTTAAGCTGTATGGACTATTCTAATGATTTCGTAATATACAGCCTTACATGTTTATGCTCATTAACAAAGGGAAGAGGAGAATTATCGAGCATGATGGAAGAAATGCTAAATACTTTACCAAAGGTCATTGCAACACATTTTTCTGCGTTTATTGCCATTTGTCAAAACTGAGATCATGCATTTATTTTAACAAGATCAGCATTTATAATACTAACCCCGGTTAATGTTATAAAAATATTCGTTTCACATTATATTTTCTGACAGCACGTACATCAATAGAATGAGATTGTTTCTCATTTGATAGTGAATCAAGTTACGACCAGTTTGATCTTTGCTCTTAAGTTAGATATACTGTCGTTTTTGCTTCCATTATTGTTAGCAATGCATAATCTTTTAATGGAGCCATATGCTATTCTTAAAGAACATTTTACATTTTCTTTCAGATATTTTTTGTTAAGCACAATCCGTAATGCTACAGGCTTTCTCAAAATCGAAAATTACACATACTATATTAGCTCTTAAATCAATTTCCCTCACTCATGTAAATACATTTACCTATAAAACACGTATGCAACGATTGTATAATGATGGATTAGATGTCAACCAACAATCTGTTGAAATTAATCCTATCGAACGTATTCGTCGATGTTCACTCCATAAAGATGCTGATATTTGGACATTCTATAAGACAATGTGTCCTAACGTACGAACGCTTGGCGATGCTTTGTATGAAGGTTATGTTGCTTCAAATGACGGTCCCTGTGTAGGCTATCTCGAATCATCGAACGATACAGAATCATTACAATGGTTGTCTTATTCCACAGTAATGGAACGAAGTCGTTACATTGGTTCATATTTATGGACAAAAACCAAACTTACACCAATGCAATCCAAAGTAGCCATTATTTCATCTAATCGACCTGAATATTTATTTGTTGAACAAGGATGTTATATGTATGGATTTATTGTTATTAGTCTCTATACCACTTATGACCTTGAAACCATTCAGAATCTTCTTCAAAGGACTCAAGCAGAAGTACTTGTTATCGATAATTTGGAACGTATTCAATCAATTAAAGATGAATTATTGAATAATAATCAAATCAAAGAGATACTTGTTATGGATGAGATAAACTATGACGAGAAGAGTAAAATTCATCCGATTTCATCGATCTTCAAAACAATGAAGAATACGGATATATGTGAGCGACCAACAATTGATCCAGATGGTATTGCGACATTTATATTGACAAGTGGAACAACAGGTGAGACAGAAAAGTAAAAACATCATTAAGTTTTTAGTGTGTTATTGATATTGTAATTTCAAATCAACATATTTATGTAATTGATTCTTTTCTAATTACTGTTCAGAATATTAAAGTGGACCAAGATAAATGAGCTATATTATGAGTTTGTCATTACAAGCATCTTTTGAAATCTGTAATGAGTGTCTTGATACAGATGTATAAGCAGAAGTATGAAGACCATACTTTAGAAAAAGTTATATACGTTTTTTTTAGTTTATCTTCTTATTTTATTTTCTAATTTAAAGTCTATTACATATATTTACTGCTTTTTTTTTAAACGTATTCTACGTACGATCAATAGCATCTTGATTTATTACCATAGGATTTTTCAGAGGCGGATAAAAATAAAAGTCATTCGTTTTTTACTTTAGGAGAGCCCAAAATTGCTATGCTATCACATGAAAATCTATTAGCATCAACAAAAGGTAATCTTATTCGTCTAGATGGTGCCAATGTCATAAGACCTGTTACTAATCGACACTGTTCATTTTTACCTATGGCTCATATATTTGAAAGATTTGTAATCTTACAAATTCTATTAAAAGGCACAGAAGTGGTATTTTGTCCAACTCCTGAAAAACTCATTGAATATTTATCCATAGTAAAACCAACTCAAGCTTCTGTTGTTCCTCGTATTCTTAACAAAGTCTATGATAAAATCATGGCTGATGTTAGCAAGAGTAAAGTGAAACAATTTCTTGTTCAATCAGCTTTACGTGAACAGCCACCGTTTTTATCCCGTTTTGTTTTTCGTAAAGTTAAAAACTTATTTGGTGGTGAATTAAAAGGAATAATAACTGGATCAGCACCAATTAAGCCAGATGTAATGCACTTTTTTCGTATCGCACTCAATATACTTATAATAGAAGGATACGGACAAACCGAATCAACTGCTGGGGGCTCCACTACACATCCAATTGATATGTCATATGGTACAGTTGGTTCGCCCGGACCAAATGCTGAAATCAAATTAATCGATGTACCAGATACAAACTATCGAAGTGAGATAAATCAAGGAGAAATTTGTCTTCGAGGACCGACTATTTTTAAAGGTGAGTCAAATTCAGTAATCGGTACTGCGTATATATCTTCTTTTCAATAGGTTACTATGATGATGAAGAAAAGACACGTGAAACAGTTGATGAAGACGGCTGGTTGCATACAGGCGATGTTGGAGAATGGGCAAGCAATGGAGCATTACGTATTATTGATCGATCAAAACATATATTTAAACTAAGTCAAGGAAAGTACATTGCTCCAGAACGTCTCGAAGATGTATATATTCGTTCTCCATGGATCGCACAAATCTTCGTCGATAGCATTTCAGGTCAAACAACAGTCGTAGCTATTGTGGTACCTGATGAAGAGTATGTACGAAAAAATTTTAAATCAGAAGCTACTGAAATATCCTTTGCTGATCTATGTAAGGACGAAAAACTAAAAGCGATTATTTTGTCCGATTTAAATCAATTGGCTAAAAATCAGACGCTTGAATATTACGAAATACCGAGCAACATTCATCTTCATCATGAACCATTCTCACAAAAGAACGGACTGCTTACAATAACATTTAAAACGCGACGAATGAATGCTCGAAAGCAGTTTCAGTTAATTATTAACTCACTGTATGATGCTGATCGCAAAGCGACAAATAATAGTCAACAGAAATGAAACTATGAATTGTATTGATTCTCGCAATGATCATGTTTGTTTTTTATTGTAATTTCTGTTAATTTTTCTTTATAAGGTTTAATATTATTCGTTAACAACTTGCCGTACATGAATAACATATTTTCGACTGTTATTTTCCATTATGTTTTCGGTACTAATGATTAAAACGCGATAATCGTACAATGGCTTATACAGTCAGAGCCTCTTTTCATACATAAATAAAAATGACTTGTTAATCTTCACAAAGATAGTTTTACTGGTTCAATGCAAAATACATATATGTGTTCTATTTTAATCTTAGACTACTATCCGTTCCAAAATACAAGATCATCGGTTGCTTTTTGAATAAGTCAGCATTAGATAAAGATAAAGACTTGCGATTTTCACCATTTGAGAGCCAAGACTTGAGGCTACCTTTTCATAAGCAAAACTGATTTTCGATAAAGTTTCCGAAGTCGATTTATCAGAAGATCTTTGGAAAACTAGCTAGCACTTTCCGAAATTCAAACAGAAATCTATTGACTTTTTTCATGTGCTGATAGCCCGGGATGTTCTCTTAAAAATGGGAGTAAAGTGAGACCTTGATTTTCTGCGATTGTATC